AACCTTATTTTTAAAGTAAGGTTGTATTTTGGGTTTTCTCTTATAGTGAAAGAAAGAGTTAATCACTCCAGCAATTAACTTGAACTCGATTGACAGAGAAATGGTAAGACATGAGTAAACATTTTAATTCATGATGGAGTTAAAGCAGAAATTACTTCCAAGGAAGAATTTAGAAGCAGTGGAGGCTTTCCAAATGAGAAAAGCCAGGGTTACCAAAGTCAAAATTTTGGACCCCAAGGCATCCAGAGACAGGTTTCACAGCCAACAGTGGAAAACACACAAAGTTATAAATGTGGGCCTTACTCGAGACTTAATACCGGTGATGTTGACGCTGCTAAAATAATTGAACAATTTGCTTGGACGCTGACAAAAGTTGTTGGAATGAAGCTTCGCATGCACATTTGCTCCATTTCTCCATAGTTAATGTCTGTTAAACCCAAAATTGATACTAAATATTAATTTTATATATTAAAAAAAACAAGTAAATTGTAGGAAATTGTTACCATTCTTAGTTTGATTATGGGTATTTTTCAATTTTAATATTTTTATAAAAACATAATACCTAAAAAAACCCTTGAATTATTTAAAAATATTTAAATAAATTTCTTATTTTCTTATTATATTTAATCACATCCTTATATTGTTATTTTATGTCAAACAAATTCTTATAACTAACTATTGATTAATTATTATTTATTAAAATAACACATGTATACCACGCAATACTAACATAATACGTTCATATATTATAATAGATGATAGTATATAATACTTTAGCTACATAGTAATTTTATCCAACTCCACATCAACATCTTAGTGACATAAAAATAACAATAATTTTTATTAATGATAATTAATCAATTGTTAATTATAAAATTATATTTAATTTAAAATAAAAATATACGAATTTAATTAATCATAATAAAAAGATAAAAATTTATATAAATTTAATTAAATAATTTATGAATTTTTTAGAATATTATGCCTTTTATAGTACTTCCTCGAGGGTTAATTAATGCCATCAATAATTGAAGCTTTTATTTGAGAAATTAGAAATGGGTAAAATAAAAGGTTATTAATTATTAGTATAACTCAACAAGTGGATTTTTCAAAAAAAAAAAAAACAGAAAGAAAGTAAAAGCAAACAAAAAAGAGTGGGCACTGTCACAAGAAATGCGTGGTTTGTTTGATATGAAATATTATTGAAAGGAAGTTTCCAGTTGTCGGATGTTAATGCTTGGAATAAATTTGGTACCAACAAATGCTTATTTGTCGTTATTTAGGATTGGCCCCGAAGGTGAGAAATCAAATGGACTAGGCACTGCCGGACAGGTTCAAGCTACAAGGCCAATTTAGAGTGAAGAATATTATTCTTTTTGTATCAAATTAACTATTTGTTTTGTATTTTTGAGTCAAATTTAATGACTTTTACCGTAATTTTTTCCGATATCACATAAACTAAAATTTCAAATATTAAGGTCCCAAAAATTTAAATTTAGGATTTTTCAAATCTTATTTTTTAAATGTTAATTGCTCATAAAATTATAATGGTCAAAAGTGGTTTGTATTTGACGAAAAAAGAGCTAAAAGTGAATATTTAATTTTAAATAGAGATGATAATAATAATTGATTTTTAGGGTCTGGATTTGATACTAATTCAATCATATCAAGCGGAAGCGAGAACAAAAACAATCAAAAAGACAATGGTGGTGACTTTGACTGTGGACTATGGCCATTTTATAGTCTGAATTCATGGCTGCGATGACTCATATGTGTTCAAGTCAAAGCCGAAACGTCACAGCAGACAGAGCCTCAGAAGCCATCCGTCTGTTATAGCCCAAACGGATCTAGATTAGCCCAATACAATTTTGCAACACGCAAGGGAGCTCGGTCCAGGTCCATGCATTATTGACCCTAACAAACTTTGTTCTTACCACTGCAAAGACTCCTTAACCTACAACCCGTAGGCTCTGACTTCAATGCTTTATTTTACTCACTTTCTTCTCTGAAGCACTTTTATTAGTATTGCAACAATATTCTTAGAATCTGCCCAAACATATTCTGTAAGCCATTGTTCCTATAAATTATATGTTTTCTTTAATAATTTAATCACTGGTAAGTGTATATTTTAATACTACTATAAGAGTAAAACATGAATAGATCTTAATGTATTTGTCTTTGGAGTGAGCAAAGTAGTGTGAGAGAGGCATAGAGTTAGTGGAGTAGATAGATTCCTTTCTATCTTTTTTGAGGTTGGCTTTAGGCAGCCTTCCATGCCCATATTCATGCGATAGCCCTCCATTTCTGTGGCTGTAAGGGTTTCAGAGCCCTTTTCAGAAAGGAAAAGGAGCACTACTCTTGCCTTCGAGTTTCAAACTAGTTGTAACTTCGCAATGCTTTTTTGGTTAGTCTATATCATTATATGCCAGAAGTTTTCCTTTATAATGTTGGATTCTTCGACAATAACTCATTTTCTTGAGGAAAATGGAAATCTCAGCTTAAATAAACAAGATCCACCCTCAAAATCATAGGAAATAATACTGAGAGAAATAAATGAATTTCAAAAATCCTAGGCTGGGGCAGTGAAGATGATGTTCTCAAAATCAGCTGGTTGTGGTGATGCCAACTCAGCTGAAATCCTTGCCATTAAAGAGGCAATGACTCCATGAATGCAATGCTATGGATTTCTAAACTTTCTGAAGTTTAGAGATAGTGAACCCTGGATAAGCACTTGATGACTCTTCCGCCCAATACTCACCACCACATCAACTCAATCACGAGATTTCGCACAATCTTGCTCGAACACGTGTAATACAAATTTAAATCAAAAAATAAATAAAAATATGATTGAGTACTGCAATTAAGAATTGGTTTGGGGAAAACTGAATTGGTTTTTAGGGTTTCTTCAATCGGTTTAGGTTTTTTGAATTGATTTAAGAGTTTACTCTATCAATTCAAAAATTTATTGAATCAATTTAAGGATTTGTTGAACCGATTCGATTTTTTGGTTTGCTGAATTATTTAAAAGATTTATTGAATTGGTTTTAGAGTTTAATGCATCGATTTTAGAGTTGTTGAATCGATTTAGGGGTTGTTGAGTTAGTTTTAGAGTTTGTCAAACCACTTTTAAGGGTTGTTAAATTCATTTTAGGATTTGTTAAATTGATTTAAGGATTGAATTGGTTTAGGGGTTTATCGAACTTATTTACTATATTAATGTATAAATTTTAGGATTTATTGAACCGATTTGAGTGTTCAATAAATCGATTTAGGGTTTACTAAGCCGAGCTGAACCACTACTATGATTTCCGATTTCAAACTTCACAAAACCGATTTAGTGTTCCTAATCGATTTTTGAGTTACTCTAAAAACAAGATATAGAATAATGTTTAACCGATTTAGAATGTTTAGTAAATCGAGTATAAAGTTATATTAAATCAGCTTAAGGTTTTCAATAAAATTTAAAGATTCTTGAATCGTTTGGATTGTTTGAAATAAATAAAGGGTTCCGGTTGGCGGTTGGCTTCTTCTTCAAGTTTATGATTCTTTTGCACATCATACGGCATGGGTTTGACTGTTGCCTTCTCCAATCAATACATCGGAAAGAGAGACGCAAAGAGAAAAGTAGGGGAAGGAAAAAGGAGCTGACTATGGAGTTTGGAGTCACGATTTCCCTGGAGAAGCATTGTTTGTTTGTGAAGCCTTGAATTGGATTGGATGCATATTAGGTACAACAACGATATGGTGAGTCTTGTCACATACTAAAGAAGGTGTGGTATTGGTATGGGCAAACGAAAAGCTGAAAACATGTTTGAAGTAAATACTAGCACTAGGAAGGACAGGGGACCTATTTTTTACAGGGGGATAAAAATTGGCTCTGTTTGTTGTTTCCCCATAATAATTACTAGCACTACTTTCATTGAAGGAAAATGCCCTTTACTAAACAAGATGCAAAGTACCTGATTAAATTCTGGTTTTTCACAAGAAGGAAGTAGATCCAAAATGAATGTGTGAATGTCAAAAGCATTCTCATTCTAACCCCTGTGTCTGTCTGTGTCTTTTAAAATGGAGAGGAGAGGAGAGGATGAAAAGGTGATATTTGTGGGTGGTGGGCATTGGATTTTGGCCCGTCCACTGACTGCCACTTTTCCAGAGCACATAAGTCTACACTCGAAATCTTTTATAGTTTGATAGACATCCTGATGTATGATTACAGTAGCTGTTGCGCGTGCTGTAAGAGATGGAGGGGCTTGTCCCTCCACTTTGTTAGTTTGTATTAAATTTAGAACCGGTTTCGACAGCCATATCCTCTTGGATTGATGACAAATTCTGTCGTGAAATCACCCCCTGCCACGAATTATTCTCTAATTATGCTCTCTTTCTGTTCTGGGTTCTCATCTTCTGACTTTTACACTTGATTTGCTTGTTCGCAAGAGCTTTTGTCGTGGTTTTAGACATGAATATGCGGAAAGTTGGAATCTTGTACTTTCTAATTCGGATAATATATAGCCCAAGAAAAGTTTCTTAAAAACTAATGTAATATGAATCTCCCACTGCCACACCCATCACTCTGTTTATGACTTGTTGTAGGCCTCATTATACTATATGCAATGTTGCTTTTAATTTTAACATCGTCCCACCCCCCCCACCTAAAAAAAGAAAAAGGCAAAAACTTCAGCAGATGTCACAGGGATTCGCTGATTGAAAAAAATAAATGCATGTCATCAACCTTTGAAGCACTCATTGTCAAACTTCCTTGCATGACACAGCTCTCATAGCATGCATGAAATCAGAGAATTGAAAAATGATCACCACAATTTCTTCAGACTTCAATGCCTGGCAGAATTATTATGATGCAGAGGAAGGGATTCGCAAGGGTTTTAAATTTTATTAATTGATCATTGTCTTTATTTCAATCCTTATTTGTATTAGTTTGCAAAAATCATTTGTTTCTTCTAACATTACTGGAATGTAGTAACACAACATACAAATTAGGAGAGAAGATTAATATAAACATCTTCAGAATGATTACATGTTTAGAAATAGAATCCCGGCGCATCCATGACTTTCCTTCCAATTATATACATGTGCATCGGAACTGATTTACAGAAAAAATCTAAAACATTAGCAATAACCCATATCCTTATTATCCAGGATGGATCGAGGAATGCCCTTCATTAAGCAGGACACTGGTGGGATTGTTAGCGTTTCTAAGTCACCATAAGCATTCCAACAAAAAGGGTCCAAAACGATATCTCCTTGAGCAGGTAGAAGCTCAATATCAGAGAGCGTGATGTTAGTACATGGAACTGAATCACTGCAGGCAAAATGCATTGGAGGGCTTCGGATATCATAGGTTCCCTTGATGCTTTCATAGAGTATATCTGATACATAAACAGCTGATGTTTGGTTTTTGCAGCCCTTTTTGAGGCAGTAGAATTGATTGATTATAATCGGATTCCTGACAGCTTCCATGTGAATGTTGCTGAATGTTATTCCTGCTACAGCTCCAGATCCACCTTGCCACGTCTTGATCCTTACCCCATTTTGTGATAACTTTATCACTGAGTCTCGAACTGTGACGTTGGAGACGCAGGCTCGTGAATTGTGATTGCCTAGACTCCCAATGCTGAATTGGAAGAATAAAGAGCGGAACATATTTAACATGGATGAGCTTGAACAAGCTTAATAAGAAAAATTAAATCTAAAGGTTAGCATTTCAATGGAATCAATTAGGACTACCTGATTCCATGACCAGGTCCGCAAGTTAGGTTCTTTATATCCACATCATAACATCCTGATCCGATGGATATACAATCATCACCTGCGAAGCAAGATCATTGAGACGCTGAGCTGAGTTTAATGTGGAAATGGAAATGAAAATTTGGGAAGATTTGGGATTTTGCGCTAACCGTTAGAGATAACTGAATTATATATTTCAACACCATTTGTGTTCTCTATGTGGATCCCATCAGTGTTGGGACTCAAGGCAGGAGCAGTTATGTGAAGGGATTCTACATGGACATTCTGGCAACCGTCAAATCTGAAGTGGAACTGGGGACTATCCTTAATTTTAAGTCCTTTCACAGTCAAGTTGGAGCTCATGAAAAACCTTAAAGCCTGCATTATGAATTTTAAGGCGTCAATTCTTTGTGTTATCTTGGGGGAAAAAAACACAAAATATATAAATGAAGTCTGACGACTTACAATTGGGCTATCACATGGTCCAGGCAATGTTGTTGTATTTTTGCCCTGTGCCATTGGATGCAAAAGGTTAGCTATAAACTCGGTGCATAATCGAAAGAGTGAAGTCAGCTATACCTTGTGGGGCTTACAAGGAAGATCCCACCATTTCTGTCCTCTACCATCGATGAGACCACCTCCTTGCAGGGACAATCCATTTATCCTGTAAAAGACCAGCCACTGGCGCTTGCTTGTATTCTCTGGCCACGCGTCTGGTCCATCAGGAGGCATAAGTGTACCATCAACCTTCACAA